TCAAGCTTACTGGCCATAAGCTTACCAGGCCAGTTCAGCCCTCACCAAGTAGACAGCAATGTAAAAGTCTTAAATATAGTTTTCCTCTAGACCTATAGATCTCTGTGAATACAAGACTTAATCCTGCACTAGAGGAACTTTTTTGTACTACACACTGTGAATGTATCATTCACATATCTTGCTGACCTGTCCCTCATTGCTCTTCAGAAAACCCACAACAGACTGTACTCAGGCTTTCTTCCAATACTGCAGTCTTTAGGAATTAGCAATTCCCGCCTTCCTGAGCTGCTTATTTACTTCTAAATACCTGAGTTTGTTCTGGGGGAGAAGAGTTTTCTGAAAGCCTTGATGGCCAGTTTCATAGCAACAGCCACACCTGGGAGTAAGCTAAGGAAGGAAGACAAGCAAAATAGAAATTCAAGGCACCTCTATATTCAGTACCACCAGTTATAAAGAAAAACAGGAGACTCATTCTAAGACAGATGAGAGAGCACGGCCAGACAGATTCCTAGAAACCCAGACCTTGGGCACCACTCATTTGCTTCTGTTCAATATATCATGTCTTAAGTCTATCTTCCAGTGAATACTGGCATTATGCTGCAAAGATTCTGTACAGAGGAGACTTCTTGTCATATTAAACCTTAAATTCTAGCATAGACATCTTATTATTTAAACAGCCTGCATCCCCAGTGGATCCTGCCTGTGCTTGAAAGGAAACATCATTATAATGTCTGTGTTGCTGCCAAGTCTAAAAGCCAGATGGACAGACTGCTGATGGCAGAAACTCCTTGCTGGAACCAAGCAATCCTGACCATAATCAGTACTGCATACGTTGTACTTCTGATGCTTATTTTATGGCATGACAGTGAGACCATAGTAAAAAGCATTGTCATGGGATATTAAAATGACTATCAAAGTTTAAAGTGGCTCTATGGATGCATCAGTGCAACTATTAAGGATGGTCAGAAAACATTTGTCAAACTCACAGATGAACTTTAATGAAGCTGCTTGGTAAAAAGCATTCTTTTAAGAGGAGACTGGAAAGGCCAGATGTAATATATGAAAAGCCACAAATGCACTGAAGTTGCATACAGTATATCAAGTTTTTAGTATTGCTAATTTTTTGAATCACTAGAGAGGCAAATTAACTAATATTCCATGTATTATCACACCTAGGCTCGAAGAATACACCTCAGGTCACTCTTGAACAATCTTTCTAAAGAACTGAATTGAGATCTAGAAGGCTATTATTCAGTGCTGACAATCAAACACACAGGAATTAATTGATTTCTATTTAATCTCTTTTAATCTATTCATGCCTTTTAATTAATTCTCAGATTAATATCTAAATGTATTATTGATAACAGAACCAAAACAGTTTTAATGCTGCCTCTTCCTTGGGCCATATTTAAAAGTAGAACTGTCATGCATGTTTCTCCTACTAAGAACAATACAGCAAATTGCAATTACGAAGCTGCATCCTGTAGCCAAGTTAGAGTCCTACATCCAGAAAAGCTGCAACTACCATATGTTAAGTATTCAATCTGAATTACTCTTACATATTCTACCAATGTTTTGTTTCACAACATACCTATACTTTTGCAGTGGTTACTTACTGTAAGCCATATGCTAAGCATATACACAAACTCCAATTACTTGCATGGTTTTGTCAAAATATCTTTAGGTTTCACATTTGAGCACTTTCCCATTTTGCTTCTCTTCCCCCAAAGCATCACAACCATCTTTTGGAAGTTTCTGTTGGACACGGAATTGCTGGTCATTACCTAAGCAGATTGTAAGTAATTAAGTTCTGTTGTAGCAGAGCACTTAAAGTTATTAAACTTCGTATTTTGCAAATCTTCAGGTTACTGGAGCAATAGACTAAAGCACTATCTGCACTGTGACAAGAAAGACACTCTCCTTACAGTGTTCCTCAAAGGTACAGGATATCCCGACAACCAGAATATATGGGCTTAACTTTACCCTTTCTCCCAACTTCCATAATGTTTAATAAACTGCACATTATAGAGGCACCTCAGCTAGTGACACTAAGAATTAATATGGCACCATACTAATTCACATACTGTATGTGAGATCCAGGGATGTAGCTCCAATCCCAAAGGAAGTAGAGCTGCAATAACAGTGTTGTTTGTGGGCTAATTATGCTTGGGTTTCATAAGACTAATTAGCTTCAGCAGAGCCCAATGCTAAGTTCGGTATCTTTGCACAGTCTTGTACTTCATGGATGTATTTCTTTCCTTCCTCCACCTTCCCACACACATTTGGCTGAATTAAAACACTATATACTGATGGTTTTTACCTGTAGCCAAAATTTCCATATGGTAGAGAATTCTGCTCCAAGTTACAACACTACTCTAGAAACAGAAGCAATATAACTATTATAAAAGTCTCATGGATTGCATAAAGTCCAAACAAGGAGTTACTTTTCAAGTTTAGTCTGACTAAGAAAGCATTAAAACCAGCAATTATGGTAGAAAATATTTCAAGCTAGTATTTAGTTTCCCAAAAGCATTAATTTACACTAACGATGCTGTGTATTACCCTATCTGCCACAAAAACTGATAATCATTGATTTGTTAAACTGTATACATAGGAAGGCTATTCTGGTTTATATTCTGGTTTAAATTCTCCAAAAAACTTAGTATTCATTAGAAAAATCAAGTAAAATGCCAGTAAATACAGCAAAAAAGGGTACAGATTTAACAGCAAAGGGAATATTTATCCCCCCATGCAAACATCCTCAGGTATCAATTCAGAATTGACTTATCTTGTGAAACCAGTTATTAAATATAAGGTAATGCATACGCTATTCTTTTTTCCATGTTTGAAACCTGATTTCTCAAATGTCTGGAACTTTCATATAGGGTTCCTCTGGCCTGGTTTACTTTTTTCCCTCTATTTTAACCAATAAAGCTTATGCTAAGAAAACAGAGAATTAACCAAAGCAATGAGAGACCCAACACCATCTTCAGTTACTTTCATATTTGTCACAAAACAAATAAATCATTGAGTCAGAAAGCAAAACCAGAGAAGTCCAGCCAATCTTTGTTTGAAAGTTCCCCACAAAATGACACTTAAAGAGGTTGAGTTTTGGGACTACCTGCAATAAACTTTTGTTTGATTTAACACTAGAATTAAACGAGCACTTTTCTCCCAGCTTTCCTTCTCAATGATACAGAGAACCTCAAGATAGATGAGTTTAAGAAAACAGTAAGAACTTTCTTCAGATGAAAACTACTTTTGGTTTGAAATTAAACAGAAACAGGGAGAACCGAGACTATGGAGTTGCAGTTTTGTTAAGACTTAGAGATTCAACTGCAATTTCTCTTGCATGTAGCTTAAGCTGCTGCCACATGTTGCCATCACATAGTCGTACCACTCATATTTCACTAAACCCCCTGCATCTTTTTAAATGCTGCCATATAATATTTTATATAGGAAGTAAATGGTCCAATATAGCAAAGAATCAGTTACATTTTTTAGTTGGTTTACATATGTCTTCTTGAATACTCCACAAATTAAGTCAAATCAGTAATACTGATTTGAATTTGAACACATTTGATGGCAGTTCATATTAGAGAGGACTGGAGAAGACCACCACTGTGGTTAAAGTTCTTTTTGCTTCTGAACTATAGGGCTTTATCTTCCTATTAATTTTATTTAATGTATCATGAATTATTCATGGTTATTTCTAATTCATCAGTCATTATTAGGATTGTTTCCTCTAATCTTTGCATTTAACAGACCAAATAAAACTAGGATTTTCTCAGTAGTTACCCCAAGAAGGTTGCAGCTGATGAAGGAAATCAATGTATTTTTTTAGAGTGCAGCGGTTACACTGAAACAAAGAAACTTTTGGAAGTGCAATTCAAAATAAAACCCATTACTTTTTAATTAAACAACCACATTGCCAAAACGAATACAGTTTTATCCATCCCACTGATACCTAGTACTGCCAAGTTTCACAGAAACATAGAATGGTTTGGGCTGGAAGGGACCTGACAGATCATTTAGTTCCAACCACCTACCATGGGCAGGGACACCTTCCACTAGAGCACTTCCACATCACCACATCTGCAGTGACAAAGCTAGAAATTGTTTAAAGCTTTGTCATAGCAAAATTGCTGATCAGAAGCAGTTGGCTAAGGACCTGGTACCAGTGTTCCCCAAGAGCTAAAGTGGTACCTCTGTCAACGGTGGGTCTTCTGCAGGGAGAATGATCTCCTTCCCAATCGAAAGAATTTCCCTCAACAAGTCAAATCAACTAATTAAACATACTGGAACTTAAAAAAATTATTCCCCTCAATCCAGCCTTTTCATCTTTCTACAGCCTTGAAAATCTGCTACTTCTGAAGCATTAAAGCGTGCAACATTTAGGGAAAAGTTACGTTATTTGCCAATAATACTAGCTCTGTCAGAGCCATTTTTAGATTTAAAACACATTTTTCCTCCCCATGCATTTAAAGGAGGTCCTCTTGCAAAGCCTGAAGAGTGCAAGGCAAACTGAATCCAATGAGAATGTGACAATAAACTGTTGCCTAAGAATTGTGCATGCAGATTTTCATTAAAACAGATAAGCTGAACAAATGTATGCTCATCTGTAGAGCTACTTAGACATAGAGAGACAGTGCATATTTGGGTAGCAAAATGCAGTGCTTGATTTGACTTGAAAGGCTGATTTGCAATTGAAAGAATATTTGTAATTACTAATCAAATTTAATTACCCTCTTTTCTGGAAAGCAACTAAAAGGAAAAAAAAATACAAGGCAAGATGAAAAAGAAGTCAGAACATACGTCATTAGCTTGGGTCAATCCACCTCGGTGCAGTTTAAAGTCTTGATCATACTAGCAATCTGTCCATCTATGCCTCAACACATTGGAACTCCACAAGTGTTGGGAAAAGAACCGTATGGACTGCTTTCAAGGTTGATGTTTCACGTTTAGTTTTGGTTATTCAAATAATGTGCATTACACCTGCATCAGTTCACAATAAGTTTATTTTATGTGAAGAAAAGCTTTGCCATTAATGAAAAATTTCAGTAGAAAACAGTACCTCCTGCTTTCAATCTAGATTACTCAAAAGTATAAGCTTGTATTAGTGAAAACTTCAGTAGAAACAAATCCATAGGAAACATGTTCTTGGCACATGAAGTAAAAGCTTTAAACACATTAAGTTTGAATAGAGTATTTACCATGCAACCATGCTGGCAGAAAAGCCAGTTTCTAATGGCTGGTATTTGTCCCTCAAGACAATAACATGGAAGACACTTAAAACCTGCTTACATAACGTTAATTGTATATAAATATGGTGTTGCCATAATTGACAGTCTTTATTCAGGCCAACCATTTAGTTTAGCAGTTCTAAATAAGTAATAGGCACTTTGCCTTTCTGATTTCCCCTTTCACCCATCAGCCAGTCTGAATCCATGCCAGGGATACTGTACACTGTTATCACCTAAAAAAATAGAAACACATAATTATAACCTTTCCTTGCCTGGAAAAAAAAAATACAGTCTGCCTTCATGTGGTTTCCAAGGCCTTAGAATTGAGATTAACCAAGTCAAATAGAGCATTTAAAATGAGCATCCACGGAACATAATCTAGTGCTTATAAAAATGAGTTCACTGGTCAATGGAAAAGTAACATGTTCTAAAGTCCCTTTTTTCCTGATGAAATTCTATTAATTCCTGTTTCTTTTCTATTATTTTTTAGATATAAATCTTGTCTATCAGCATCAATTTTAACAGGCAATCTAAAAGAAGGTTTGTTGGATCTTCAAGTGAATGACATCAAGAGATGCTGTTCCCATGCTGTATCTTAACATAAAATCTTAGGACACAGCTTCATCACTGTCTAGATGAGACAAAAAAGTAAAATAGAAATATTTTAATAAGGCACACTTAAAAACCAAAGAAGTCTGAAAACTTTGTGGTTGTCCAGTAAATGTTCTTGCGAGCTAAGCTGGTAACATTTTAACTCTCAGTACAGAGCATTAGGATATACAGGTACAGGACAATGCTATAAGAGTACTATTCATGTTTAATTAAAAAAAAAAAATCAACTACACAGATTTCTTGATGTAGCACATCTTAACTGGCCAGTCACAAGCGTTCTGACTGTATATTTAACTGATGAAGGTACATAGAAAACTCTTACCTCATCTGCAAGTAGTGATAATTCACTGCTGTTTGCAGCATCATAATCATAGAGAACTCTAGCTTTCCTGCTGCCACTTGATGACTTCAGTTCACTGATGCCTGAAGTAACTATTGAATTGCTTACTGAAGGCAATGAAGCAGAGGCTGAGGCCAAGACTGAGGGAGCAGAAACACTCTGCACAGGAGCTGAGGAAGACTGATTATTGTTAGAGAGGAAAGTAGATGGAAAGCTGTGGGAGAAAATGAAACAGAAAGACTTGTGAGTGAATCAGTCCTACATGGAGAGTTATCCCTGCCTCCTTGCCTGAATTAGCATTCTTGCATTTAGCAACTACACCACCAGTAGACAGCAGTAATAGAATAGCACTGATAACCTACATAAATAAGGTATAACCTAAATAAAGATACTTCTCCCAGACCTGTAGTATAAATCAAACCACATACTTAAAAAGAAATACTGCCACCTTAAAAAAAAAAAAAAACCAACAAAAAAACCCCACTTGATAATTGCCTCAAACAAAACAAAAGCAAAACCAGGAAAGCACTGTTGGTCAGACCTAATTCAGACTGTACTTCAATAAACATTTCTTTTGACAGCTCTGCCAGTAAAAGCAGCCTCCACCTCCTCCTGCTCATTCTTCAATTATGTAGCTACACAAAAGACTGCTGGTGAACTGGAACAGGGAAATATAATGCAGATTGAAAACACAGCCTCCCTCTGAAAGAATGCAACCCCCCACAACTATTTTTGTAACCTAAATCAGTTTGTTGATTCAGCTAACTGCATGCTGTAAACCAGAACTATTTGTTATGCTAAGGATCAACTTATATCAGCTGAAGCCCCTTCTTTCTAGGTCACACTGCTGCTTGTTCAGCAACAGCTTTAGTGCTTGCCAGACCCTCCTGTGAGGTCAATTCAACTCATTAACCTGCCTGGAAAAAGGTAAAAAAGAAAGTGTATAATCTTCCACAAAGTTAATGAGCTGAATCAAAAAACACAACATTGATGAGAGCCAGAGGAAAAGGACAGAATAACAGGGCTGAGATGTGGAAGGAGTAGAAAGGAGAGCAAAGCAGCAAGTGGAGGAATAACGCTGTGCACCAATACAGGTTAGGGGATGACCTGCTGGAATGTAGCTCTGCAGAGCAAGACCTGAGGGTCCTAGTGGACAACAGGTTGTCAGTGAGCCAGCCATGTGCCCCTGTGGCCAAGAAGGGCATTGGTATCCTGGGGTGCATTAGGAAGGGCATTGCCAGCACGTGGAGGAAGGTTATCCTCTCTGCTCAGCCCTGGTGAGGCCTCACCTGCAATACTGTGTCCAGTTCCGGGCTCCCCAGTACAAGAGATACGTAGAACTCCAGGAACAAGTCTAGTGAAGGGCTACTAGAATGATTAAGGGTCTGGAGCATCTCTCATCTGAAGAAAGGCTGAGGGAGATGGTCTGTTCCACCCAGAGAAGCAAAGACTCTGGGAATCTGATCAATGTGTGTAAGTATCTGGAGAGATGCTGTCAAGAGGATGGGGCCAGACTCTTCTCAGTAGTGCCAGGCAGTAGGACAAGAGGCAAAAGGCATAAACTAAAACACAGGAAGTTCCTGTGTTCCAGATACTCAAGACCAGTCTGGGGACAATCCTGACTAATGTGCTCCAGGTAACCCTGCTTAAGCAGGGAGGTTGGACCAGATGACCCCCAGTGGTGCCTTTCAGGGTCAACCATTCTGTGCTTCTGTGGGACGGGGGAAATGGAACAGCACGGGGAGCAATGATGAGCTATAATATTGTCTCACATCACTCTGCCCTACATCCTTGAATGCAGTTGTGTGGCAGACTAAGCTTATTTATTCAGCTGTTGATGCAGTCATTCCTCATCCCTTTGCTGCCTTTGTCCCAAAACTCATCTGATTCTACATTAAAAGCAGGTCAATGAAGGTTTTGAAAAGTGGTAGAGCTCATGCAGTGAAAAGGGGTCAGCAACCAGAAGTTACACTGAGTCAGGAGGACATGGAACTACACCTGTATTTCCCTCCATTCTTCTGACCAGCCTACACATCAACTAGTAAGTCAATTCCCACATAACTTTCCTCATCAGTCCTCCTACATAGATACCTTTTCATTAACATCTGAGATGCAGACATATTATCACCTGCCCCCCCCCCAACAGGGTGGCAGTATAAATTTAACACATGAAGTATAGTTTTAAACTATACTCCTTCTTTCGCAAATGTTCATTCTCTGCCATTTGAGTCAGACCTAGCAATCTGTTGCTTTTGAGTTGTTTCAACAACCTGATCTAACAAAAATCATTAAGAAGATTGCTAACTTTCCCTCAGAACAGCTTGTTTAACACATTCAACCATTGTATCTGATTGAGGGGAAACAGCAGGAGCATATTGCAAAGGACAGGATTGCCCCTTTACAGTTAGACTGAATTGCACATAAATTGGGTAGACTTTCAGGAGACTGTTGTGAGTCAACATAAAAGTTCAATACTGTCCAAAGGAGGGAGTCCCCACTTCCCCTCTGGTTTACCTTGACCCCATTTATCACAAAGAACTGGTTCAGCTCACAGTTGACTGCAACTCCACTGATTCTTCTGGTTTCATTTGCCAGATTAGATTTTCAAACCAATTCAGCATGTTCCCTGAGCAAATCAAATGATCAGAACAAAGGGAAGAACAGCTAGACCCCACATTTTTGTAGGAATAACTCAGCTGTGCCTCATGATGTATTTATTACTTGATTAGTTGGCATTCAGATAGAGGGATTTAATTTTAAATGACAATCAGCTATTTCTCAATATTGTTAAGTTACTGCTTAATTCACTGCTAAACCTGTTCTCTGCTAACACAGTGATTATGTGTAAATCATTCTCAGTTCAAAGGGTCACTAAGTTGTATAGCTAGTGGAAAAGAAAGCCAGAGCTTTATAACCACTGTCAATCAGTGAAGCATTAAGTCTCACTTTTGCAAAGCCAGATGTAGGCATGTTACTGGAAAGCTTCAGCTATACAGAGGTTGTCTGGAGAACACCTGAGTAGCAGAAGTTTCACAGAGCGTAGAGTAGGGGACTAGTGAGGGGTGACTGGAAAGACACAATGATGCCAAGGCTTAGGCTTGGCTGTCAGGGAAGCTGAGAAAATTCAGAGCAAGAGCAGGTATCAGCAGGGGAAAAACAACAGCCAGAGTACCAGCATATTTTAAATAGATTTGTTTAGAAGAAGAGAGATTGCTTTTAACCAGGGAGTTTTGATTCTTTAAGCAGCCCCACAGGAGAGGAATGCAGCTGGCACTGCCTTGAAGAGAAACATCCATAAAACCATGTCTGTTTATGTAAAGAGAACTGAGCACAAGTTTCCCCGCGCCTTCTCTACAGCTGACTCTGGACAGTATGTCGGGAAAAATCAGCACTCAGCTTTGGAATTTGAATAGTCTCAGTGTGAACCAGGTTAGGGTTTATGCCCTAGATTGTGACCCAGGTAAAGTGTAACATACGCATCTATTCTGAGAACCAGGTTTCTGTTTCAAGTAACAAACTGCATCACTTAAAGGCTGAACACCTTTGGTCCACCACCACCTTCAAAACAAAAAGAAGCCACTCACAGCTCTTGGCTTTCATATGAGAATATGGCACAATATCATTCTTAGATGTGTGAAAAGAACACGTGTAACTCAGCACTACAGATGCCTTACTAACCAACACAGCACTGGCAAATACAGCCAAAATCTAGCTGAGCTGCCAAAGATTATTTGGTACTGCATCTGCCTACCCGCAGCACAGGAAGAACACTACGCACATCCTGCTCATCTGTTTATTTAATGCAAGTGTTATGCACCATATGCCTATAAACTGAGGAGTCTTCCAAAGCAAGGAGCACAACTTGAGACCTTGTC